GAAATAACCATCTGCCTTTAAGATTCTTTGGATCATTATTCTCAAGTTGTAAGAATTTTCCCTTCTTTCCCTTCACCACCCCAAAGACTGTCCAGTCCCCAAAGGCATCAAATCCCTGTGGTGGTTGCAGATGCTGCTGTGACAGTCCTCAGACTCTTCTTGGGGATGGCTTTGCTATGGGAGGCTTGGAATGCCCTTGTTGTCCCCTAAAGCTTAGCTCGAAGTCTCAGGATGTGTCTTGGCAAGTGCAAAATCCAATAGTCATTGAACCTTTGATAATCTTTTATGCCCTGTAGAAGTATGTTTTTATTCATCCGTTTCTTCAGGAGGTAAGAAATAAAGCTGTTCCATTCTAGGCATAAATTAGCATTTATAACAATGCAGTGCAAAAAATGTAATTTAAATAGAACTGATTAGAATTTTGATAGGGCACCAAGGAACTTCTAAACAAATGCTGATCAGGTAATGAGTGGAACAAGTCATTTATTTTAGTGGTTCAGTTATCTGTTCAGTGATTGGGTCACAGTTTCCCAAACATATACAGTGACTGTTCATTAATTATGCACTTCTCACTCAGTAATTGTCCAATTTAACTAAAAACTGTGAGCTTATAGGCGAAGCCACAGAGGACAGCAGAGGGAAAAAGTAACAACCTAGATAAAAGTATATTTTCTTTTTGTAATAACATTTACTAATTCAAGGACTTGGCGAGAGGTGAGCTATTGTTAGACTTTGGCCTTGGTCTTGTCTTTATACAACAGTCTAAATTGCTCCCCATTTGTTAAGCAGGGACATTTAAGCTCCAGAGTGCCGAGCTTTGCAAATGAGGCTACACGAGTTGGCATTCAGCCTGTCTTTGTAGGTATAGCCTCACCTTTGGATCAGTCTGCGATGTGACGAATGCTATCAGTTGAATCACATGTTTTTCTTCAGGTGCATCATCCTGGAAAATGTTCTGAATCAGTCTGAAAGGCTAATTTGCAGGATTTTTCTCCTTTGATAGGTTGGAGGTTTTCCTTTTATTAAGAAGAATGGAATGTTTCCTTGTTATTTCATGGTAGTCCAGCTCACAGCTGGCACATTCTGGATGTGGTTGCTCCTCCACTGCATCATTAGTCAATGTTCTGTTTTACTTATTGATCATCTTTACTGGTAATGAAAAATCAGTTTATCAGCCCTGTTGTCTTGATATAATCCGGATGTTAGCAGGATGTCACTTTCTGGAATGCAGATGAGAAATTAAGTCCTAGGAAAGGTAATAATTTAAACAGGTAACAATTTGCTCAGGATGAAACATTGTTTCTAAAGGAAGAATCATCAGTGTGTTAGAGTACTAGTGTTGCCCACCTCACCCTGGGTGTTTTCAGGTGTTTTCTTGTATGAAGGACTTCCAGGCATGTAGCTCTACAACGTGAGTCCTGCTTTGAATGAGCACCTACTATATGAGGCAGGTGAGAAGAAAGGGCTAATGTAGTCCCATAGTCTGGTGGGCTAATTCTTGGTACAGTGATTTGTATAAGTGACACTGGTCTTTATTTATGCTGCTGCCTGAAAAGAGAACACCTTCTGTCCTCCTGTCCTTTGGGGAGTGGCTGAATACAAAGCAAGCATCTAAGGCAGTACCCAGTGGAGGAATCTAATACATTGCTCATCATTACTGAATTAATAAAGCTGGGGACTAGATAAGGCCCAAATGCAGGCAGTAGAGTGACAAGCGGGTGTACAAAATTTCCTTCCTGTTTGAAAACAACAGCAAGTATCTCTCAGAGAGACTCTTTGTTGCCCAAACTTACTGTACCAATGGGGAAGAAAAAATGAAAGTTTGTAATTGCTGGAAGAATTTACAGTGTTCTAGCTTCGTGTTTGTAACATGTCACCATCATTGGAACACCTATGTCTTCTAACATGTGTCAATCCATTTTACAACTGAGTAAACTAAGGCAAAGGGGGTCAGGGGAAAGATTGTCATACTTACAAAATAATTCTGAGGCACCTGTCCACCTCAAAGCAAGTTTAAACTGCCTTTGCCCATACATATCCCTGTGTCTCTCTTTCAAAATAAGGTAAAAAAGGAATGAGATGTATTGGAGATTGCTGATATTATTTTCTACAGTGATGTTTTTGGTTTAATGAATTATGATATTTAGAAATAGGCTAAGAGAATTCATTACCTGAAGACAAACCAACGGCAAATGGATAAAATATTTGGTTTGGGGTAATTTATGTTCTCTGCCTATGTTAACTAGAGCAATTAACTAGATTATTTTCCTAATGTGAACAATGACTATATTCATACTAAACAATTAATTGAACAATTGTGGCAGGGTAAGCACTTACTCTATTATTTTTTCCTTCTCCTCATGTCACCTTTTCCACACATGCCTGGCTCTCTCTGTAAGAGCAATTTCCACAGCATAATGTCTATGTGAAGATTATAATCTCTCAAAAAATCATAGCAAGGAACTATGGCTGCACATTTATTCTCAGCAGATCTCCACATGTCTTTGGATTTTTATGTTGTGCTTACTTTACAATCACTGAGTTCCATGCTATAATGTCTCCATTATTTTGGTGGGCATATTAGAGCTGATTGTTTCTCTCAGCAGCCTTCAACCGCCCCCTGTGAGACCTCCACAGCTTACCTTATCATAATATTGGAAAGCAATTTCTCTTGACTGCTGTGAACCAACGCCGGAAATCCAAAATGCTGCTACAGTCATTAAGTGATTTCCAATTAGTTAATTGGTTTCACAGGCTGCTTCTCTCTAAACTGCACCTTAAATGAAAAGCAGAACCATCCATTTTTGAAAGAGGAAAAAATCCTGGGGCCTTTGGGTTTTAAAATCCTAAAGCACAGCATTCTTTGGAAGAAACTTCAGTAAAAACACCGGCCCTGCAGAAGCGAAAATGTTATTATTATTACCACAGAAAAAGAATGGAATCACTCTTTTGGCTTTCCCACATTGTCCAGGGTTTATGTTGCCCACTTTAACTTTAGATCAAAGGAAGACAGACGATTATCACAGAACAGCACAGCACATGGAGACTTTCTTGATCAGCACTAGTTCTTTTCTAGGGAAGCTTCCTGGGCCTCTGTGTTAGGTGCCCCAGGGCTGTGTAAGCTTGGCTGCTCTGGGATGCTATATTAAACCTCACTGAGCAGTAGGGGAGAGTGCTTGAGAATGGTTCTGTAAGAAGATGCTTTTTGGAATGGGAGTGGGAGGTGATTATGTCTGTGGACTAGCAAAGGGAATGGATTGAAGGGAGCATGAGAAGTTGGTCTAGAATATTTCTGGTCAACACACGTATTGTTAATGTTAATGGTGGGGCCATAAACACAAGTGGTGAACAATGTTTGATTTACACAATGGGGCAAATAAAATAGGATAAACACCCAAGAGGGTAAATAGGATAGTAACTGATGTACCCAGTACATCAGTAGGGTAAATGTTTCATCTGTTTTCCCTGATAGAGAAAACTTGGCTTTAATAGTAGATAAAATGCATACAAAAATAAATGCAAATTTTCCTCTTTATTAGACAAAGATGCCATCCATCAAGTCAGAAACTGCAGAGTGTGGTAGCTAGAAGCATGGACTCTGGAGCTGGACTATCTGGGTGGACATCCTGATAGTCACTTTCCAGTTGTGAGATTTTGGGCACGTTACTTGACCTCTCTGTCCTCCAGCCTCCTGGGAAGAGGAGGACAAGGATGACACCATCCTCACAGGGTTGTTATGAGGAGTAAACTGGTGGTTACGGAGCTGCAGGCCATCATCCTAAGCAAATTAAAGCAGGAACAGAAAACTAAACACTGCATGTTCTCACAGATAAGTGGGAACTAAACCTGGAGACACATGGACATAACCATGGGAACAACAGGCACTGCGGGCTACTAGAGGGGGAAGGGAGGAACGGAAGCAGGTGTGGGTTGAAAAACCACGTACTGGGTACTATGCTCACTACCTGGGTGCAATATACCCATGTAACAAACCCACACCTGTACCCCCTGTATCTAAAATAAAAGCTGAAATAAAACAAATCCCTTAGAACCAGAGCTGATACATTCTTAAATGAACCAAATTTTATAATATGGTATGTTTTGAAAGATTCACCTTTTGATCTCTCCTTTGAAGAAAACCTCTCATTTTATGGTTAATTATCCATGAGAACCAATTCTCCAAGGAGGGCAATAGATAAGGCGCTGCCGGCCCCGTCAGTTGGTCAGTCCATCTGTCAGTCAGCTGTACTCCCTGCCATCAGCTCTTTAAGACAATTTCATTCCTTCAAACTCACCCAGTGCCTGATCTTTTTGTTAAAGAGTAATGCTTATGTATAGAAGTAGATTAAACCGGAAAGGTAGAGGAGGCAGTCATTGGAATATTGGCTCACAAAAAGGCAATGAGCTTCGTTGTGTGTGCTTGTGTGTGTGTATGTGTGAGAGAGAGAGAGAGAGAGAAGGAGACAGACACATAAACACACAGACACAACACAGAGACACACATATGCACATACAGCCGGTAGGAACAGAAAAATCTTCCATGTGATCAGGGACCATGCATGAGAGAGTCAGTTCACTGGTGAGAAGGAAATCAGGGACGTGAGAGGAGTAAGGGAAGCAAAGAAGGCCGTTGAGGACGGAAAGCCCCATCCCTGGCTCTGGTGCCTTCGTGTCAGCTTTAGTAGCAGTTGGTTCATCATTTCAGCAGCCTGGAGTCCTTTAGTAATGACTTTATGGATTAAAATTTAAAACCAAATTAAATGTGTTTACAAAACAGCACCCACACTGAATTGATAACGAGCTGCCAAAGTTGGGCTTGTAATGATCTCAATCCAGAGCTCTGACATGCTGCACGTGTCGGCGATGGTCTCAGTGCCGTTCACGTGGGTAAAACTGCAGCCACCCTTTCTCCTGTGTCATTCCCCACTCCCCCTGCCCCCGCCCCCGCCGCCCAGCCTAAGTGTAGCACTTGTAGGTGATATGCTGGTGGGCACGAGTAATGCATTTATTTATAGGCACATATTTGCTGGTCTTGAGAGTAGTAACTCTGTTAGAAATTTGTTAGCTTTTTTTGGTTTGTTTTTAAAATTTTTCCTTTTAGGTTTCCTTATGCAGCACTTCCATTCTGGCTGAAACCACGTTTTGAGAATAGTAAGTATGAAATCTCGTAATTACATATGATTTTTGATATTGTGTACTTTAAAAGTGAAATGTTTGCAGGAATGAGGGTCCCCCTGCCTCCTTCCCCTGCAGCTCCTTCATTTCTAAACACCTTGTTATTTCAGAAAGGGAGAATCTTTCATTCCGGTTTTATGGAATAGAATGAAGTATTTTTCCACTCATATTTTGTTTTTAGAACGAGAACTGCTCTTTCAAGTTGTTAATCAGTATAAAGGAAAGGAGGCATCAAAGGGAATGCTGCTGCGTCCTTTCTAAAGGGAGTAATATATTTTTCTTGTGATCAAATATATCGATAGATTTAATTCTATGGTCCATGAAGATAATTAGGACTCAATAAATATTAAATCAATCAGCAAATAACCTTTTCCTGCCCTTGAGGAGCTTATGATCTACTGAAACAAGATGAATGGCATGCATCTTTATCTTTTTAACATCCTTTGGCCCTCTATTTATGGGAAACAAACTCACAAGAATTTCCATGCAGGGATCCTGAAGAGGTTTGGCCTGTTATCCACTTAAAATTTTTTATAAGCCAATGAGAAGATGCTTTGGAGTTATTACCTGAGCAGCAATATTGCATGTGAAATGGCTCCCTTGAAAAAGAGTTAATTTCTAAAAACAACACCAGAACTAAAGAGTGTGTGGCTGGTGGTGTGGCCAAATGATCTGCAGTGTGTCTGCAGGGTAAGGAGAGGGGAACGAGCACCCTGGGATGAGACTTTGTCATCTGTTAATCTCAAGACGTAAAACCACAATTCAATTACATGGGATTCCATGCTAATATTCCTCTTGTCAATGGCTTTTCTGTTTCAGAAGGCAGCAGAATCCCATTGTAGAGTCAATGGGTATCTAAAGCCTGATTAATTGTATTGTGGTGCACATGGAATATTTAGTCTCTGGATGTTATTTATGTTGAGACAGGAGCGGTCTTGGGGGACTGGAGATGCATTAAACCCCACACAATTAACAAATGATCTTTTCCTTCCAGAGAGGCCCTGTGTTGCTGTCTGGGCTCCGGTGGCCCTGGGTAAGCTCTTGGCTTCTTCCTGACCTGCAATAAGCCTGCTCTTCCTGCTTACGATGCATTAGAAAGAAACAAAATGCACTTGTTTGAATCGATATTGGGCATTAAGCAACTTCTGGGCTTTATGTCAGGGTCTCTGGTAGGAGAGGTTTTCCTCTGTTTCCACGGGGGTTTGGGTGGCAGGAAATTTAAGACAAAATGGGCTAGAAGTTTAATCCTTGGATGCATTTAGTCTTGTGACTGTTAGTTGGCTCTCAAGTTTTTGCAAAGTGCCTTAGTCAACAGGAGGGAGGGCAATGTCCTCAGTTAACATCTCATCTTTTCCCACTGCTCTGCCTCTTTTTACCTTGCCCCTTCCACCTGGAATGTGCTTCCTTCTCCCTGAGATGCCCAATCTCAGCTCATTCTTCAAGAGACAGCGAAAATGCCATGTTGGTCTTCCTTGGTGCCTTCCTTCATTAATTCTGCAATCACCCATCTCCCCACAAAAAAACCATACCCAGGAAGCATCATAGTATTAAAAAAGATTGACATTTTTGGACTAGATAGGTCTGAGTTTACTTTCTAGACCTTACAGTTAGTAGGTGTATTCACCTGCTAAGACCACCTGTCCACTTTTAGCTTTGCTTTTCCTTAACTGTAAAATGGGGATGATACCACTAGGGTTTTTAGGAGAGTTAAATGATGTATTAGTCTGTTTTCATGCTGTTGATAAAGACATACCTGAGACTCATTTATAAAGAAAAAGAGGTTTAATGGATTCACAGTTCGGCTGGGAAAGCCTCACAATCATGGCAGACATGGCCACGTCTTACATGGCAGCAAGAAAGAAAGAGAGAGAGCCAAGCGAAAGGGGAAGCCCCTTATAAAACCATCAGATCTAGTGAGACTTATTCACTGCCATGAGAACAGTATCGGGGAAACTGCCCCCATGACTCAATTATCTCCCACTGGGTCCCTCCCACAACACGTGGGAATTATGGGAGCTGCAATTCAAGATGAGATTGGGTGGGGACCCAGCCAAACCACATCGAATGATGTCACCAAGTACAGGGCCTGGCAGAGAATACTCCATAGATTTATTCCTTCAGTCTTTCCCAGTTCATTCAGCTAACTGTAATTCTTAATCTGTTTGGGGTCATGGGTCTGTTTCCGAATCTGATGAGAACTATGGTTTCTTCTCTCAGAAAAAAACATACATGTAAATACATTTAAAAACTCTCGGACTGGGCATGTTGGCTGACGCCTGTCATCCCAGCGCTTTGGGGGGCCAAGGCGGGCAGATCAGAAGGTCAGGAGCTTGAGACCATCCTGCTGAACATGGTGAAACCCCGTCTCTACTAAAAATACAAAAAATTAGCCAGGCAAGGTGGCGAGTGCCTGTAGTCCCAGCTACTCAGGAGGCTGAGGCAGGAGAATGATGTGAACCCAGGAGGCAGAGATGGCAGTGAGCCGAGATCACGCCACTGCACTTCAGCCTGGGCGACAGAGCAAGACTCTGTCTCAAAAAAAAAAAAAAAAAAAAAATTCGGACAATTCAGGAACTTCAGGGGTCACTAGATCCCTATAGTCCCAATAAGAATCCAATAGGGGTGGTTTTGATCCCTAAGGGGTTAACCACCCCCACTTCCCTCCAATAGCCAATTTATGCAAAGCACCTGAAAAGGGACCTGCCACTTAGGAGGGCCTGAACAAATGCTAGTCAATCTATCAGTTTCTAAATTACAATTAGAACTCACCCCATGCCTGGAGAAAATCTAGCTCTAATTTTTCCTTATATTTAGTTTTGAGAAGCTGTCGTGTGCAAGTGACAGAAATACCTCTGAGCAGAGTCTAGTCCTTGACTGACATGTCTTCCAGCTGGCCTGCCATACCTTGTTTGAACAAATTTGGCCTTTTCAAAAAAATCTTCCCTTTCTTGTCGGACTCTACCCTGCAGTCCTGTGTTGCTGCTACCCAGCCAGGATTCGTGTTCTCCTGACATCTCTCTCTCCGCTCCCTGTATGGAATTTATAGCAATTATCCTTTGGTTGGTCCCAGTGTCTGTATTTTGGCAGGCCGCCCTGTCTTCCCTGTGATAACTGCTTTGCAGACAGTGTAGCCGAGGCTCTGCCAAAGCCTAATGTCACCCTTTGTCAGATGCCGTCTGGGTCCAAGGGTCACCGACACCTGCCCCTCCCCTCCTCATGTCTGCTGGTGCAGGTTCCCCTTGCACTATATTTAAAAGCACACAATGCTGTGTGGGGCTGGCTGTGATCCAGTTCATTTGAACAAAGTTAGCAGTGAACCTGGATAATTCAGCCACCTCGAAATGTTTTTTTATGGCCCGCACTACCTGGATTGGTTTGTCTGGCTGTGTACTGCAAGTAAATGAACTGGATAATCGCTGTATTTCTATTCCACTCCGTGCTGTGTAGCCTGTGCCTCTGGAAACAAAAGTTTTCTCTAAAACAAAGTCACTTCTCAGGAACAGTTATGCCCCCTGGGGATGAATATCTTTGTGAATATGTGCCAAAGTATGACTAAACAAATTGGCTCAAAAAGTAGCTTTTCCCCGTTTGACTTTCATTTGATAGTTTCATCGAAGATCGATGAGGACAACAAACACCTCTAAAAACAAAAACTAAAGCAAAGTTTTCTCCCCACTTCCCCTAAATCCTCTTATTGATGTGCTCCAAGCCAACTGTATGTTTCAGGCTTTATTTTGTTATTCTATGGCTGCATTTTATTTGATTTTAATTAAAAATGTAAAATTTGTATATATTTGGGAGTACAGGTGTAGATTTCTTATATGCATATATTGCATAGTGGTAAAGTCTGGGCTTTTCATGTATCCATCGCCTGAATAGTGAACACTGTGTTCATTACACAAATAGGTAAGATTTCAATCCTCACCCCCTTCCCACCCTCCCACCTTTGGTAGTCTCCAGTGTCTACTATTCCATTCTGTATACCCATTGCATATTCATTCTTTTAAGTGAGAACATACACTATTTTACATTCTGTTTCTGAGTTATTACACTTAGGATAATGGCTTCCACTTCCATCCACGCTGCTACAAAAGATATGATTTCAGTCTTTTTTATGGTTGAGTAATATTCCATGGTATATATGTTTTCTTTATCCAGTCCTCTGTTGATGGAGACTTAGGGTGATTCCGTCTTTGCTATTGTGAATAGTGCTGCAATAGACATACAAGTGCAGGTATCTTTTTGATGTAATGATTTCTTTCCCTTTGGATATATACCCAGTAGTGGATTACTGGATCAAATGGTAGTTCTATTTTTAGTTCTTTGAGAAATCTTCATAAGGTCTTTATGGCTGCACTTTAGGCATCTGCATCAGTGCGTTTAAAGATGCTGGGGAGCAGGGCTTTTCGAACTTCAATGTGCATTCAGATGAACTGGTGATCTTGTTAAAATGAAGATTCTGATTCTGTGGGTCTGGGATGGGGCCTGAGAGTCTGCATTTCTAGCCAGCTCTCAGGTGATGCCATTGTTGCTGGTTCATGGGCAAATCTTAGAGAGGTGAGACTATCGCCTTCTTCCGCAAGATACCTGCACACAGCCATCAAGCCTGTCCCAACACATGCCGGCCTATGTGACCTCTTTAGGTTCTCTATTTGGCCTGCTATTTGTCATAACCCAATTCTGTTTTCTTACAGCAAATCTTAGTGAAAAGGCTCTGGTCTTGAGAGAAGAGCAATCAAATTTTAATGAAATCAAGGCAGGATAGACCTAGACAGAAGATATTATCCACAAAGACACCTCTTTACCTGCCAGCCCTCATTGGCTTCTTACTAGTTTTTTAAACTTCCAAGTAGAAAATTGTTCATTACTCAAATTTAGAACAGCCTAGAAGAATACAATGAATGTTAATTTTCAAAGTCTTGAGTATTGAGGTGGCAATTTTTGGAGATTTGGTTCAAGACAAGAACATCTCTGCTCCTATCTATTCATTCTTTTTGTCACTCCGATTAAATGTCATTCCTTTTTGTTTGTTTGATTTATGTTTCTTAGGAAACCACCTGAACTGTTTTCTGGAATGAATTGGGTGTATATTAGCAAATTATTTACGTAAACATTTATTCTTTCAACACTGAGTGTCCACTACGTATAAAAAATTGTGGTAGTGACTTTGCTTCTAAGTTAGTAAAGCAAACCATTAACCTCTGTGGGTTTTCATTTCACATCTGAATAATGAAGGGCTGGACTGGATGATCCTGAGCTGTCTGAGAGTGTGTCATTCTAAGAACGGGGAGAAGCTGAAGCAGTAACATTCTGTCTGTTTGTGGCTTTTTACTGCCCAACACAAAGGCTTTTCTTAGCTTTTTCTTTTTCACAGCGAAGCAGAGAAGACATGCATCTTTCTGTTTGTGTGTTTCATGGCCATGGGGCGATAAATGAGGAAGGAGTGCTTCCCTATGGTAATGCGGCTTTTTTTTTTTTTTTTTTCCTTGAGTAGAAGAGTATTCTTATTTAAAAAAACGCTACACAGTATTTCTATATGTAAAAGCGAGCCCATCCTGTGGGCCTTCCCTTTGCCCCCCGAGGGGGTTCCAAAGACACCCTAGATCTCTGTGGAAGACAGATGGAAAACCACTGTCCTTAAGTAAGTTCTCTAAGAGCCAGACTCCAAACCGCTCCATGCCGTTTCTGCGTACATAGTGCTGGGGGTGGGAAATCTAATTTAGGAAGTAAATATTTCAGGGCGTGGAAATCTGAGTACCTCTAGGGACATGAGGAATAAGGAGTACAGAGGGGCCATTTCCTTTTGAGGACAGTAAGGGAAACAGGTAGGGCCTGGCACCTGTGAACAAAGCTGAACAGAGCAGGCCTTTAACGCCTCACAGTTCTTCCTGTGCAAGGGATGGATTTTATTTTCATAATGGAGAGGCTGACCCCTGGCTGGGCATGAAGCGAGAATGAGGGGTGGGGAAAGAGCAGGAGAGAGGGAGAAGGAGACAAAGAGAGAGGCAAGGAGAGAGAGAGAGAGAAAGAGAG